GTGGCGCTCTCCGGGATGAGGGGAAATAAAAATAAAGTCTGGGTTCCAGACCTACTGGGTTCCAGACCTAATTTTGGGTTACTCACTCTTTATTGTACTTCGTGCGCGCCATACCTAATTTAATTGGCGTGCCATACTCGTTGGTGGCGCTGTCCAGAATGAGAAAAATAATAAAAAAATAAGAGACTTGTGTCACTGTGTGGCAAGCAAGTCATACCGCTCAAATCAAACGTGCGACGAGAGTGAACCGTTGGTAGTCATGTTGTATTTACAAGCTGCGGAGATAATAGAAACAGCAAAGACGCAAAAGAAGAGTGTAAAGTCATTAATATACGCTTGTCAATCACAGGTATTTCTCGGTGTTATTATTTAAACGAATGCTCTTTTTTCCTATTAGTTCCCCTCTGGTCTAGGCCTAGGCCTAGCCCCTAGCTAGCCTAGGCCTAGGTTAGCTAGGCAGAGGCCCGAGGGGCCTAAGCCTAGATAGGCATTATGCTAACTGTAGCCTAGTGTAGGCAGGCCTAGACCTAGCCTGCTACTAATAGTACTAGGCCTACCTTGTCTTTAGGCACAATTAACTAAGCTAATCGAGTGGTGTGAACTTGTGCGTAGTACCCTGCGTAAGTATTTATTAACGCGCAATCACTGATAGTAAACAATAGCAATAGATAGTAAACGGCTGGGGATAGCCTAGGCCTAGCTAGGCTAGGCCTAGAAGTCCTAGCTAGGCCTAGACTAGTAGGCTTATGTCACTGTAAACAGCTTTTATGAAATGATAAGTTTACGTCAATCGAATTGCGCATGTGCATAACCTACGACACACTGCGATCACTCGTAAGACGCATTTCGGCTCTCGCAACCTTTGGCTCACTGAGACTGCAACAGGACTGAGAAGCCGTTTTGATAATAATTCTGCGTTCCATTTTTGTCAGGAATCAGCAATTTGAACTGCCACGTTAACAGTGTGAATTATTACTATATTAGCAAGCCCAAGACCCCCAAAATTTAGCCTAGAATATAAATTCCCGGATAGGCCTAGCAGGGGCAGATTTAGGGGGCCCCTTTTGGGAGGTAAAAAAAAGAAGAAAAAAAAAGAAAGAAAATGAAAAAATGATAGCCCAGAATGCCTCAAATATTATTTTCGGGCGTTTAAAACACACAAATTTCGCGGGGACATTCCCCCAGACCCCTTAGGACGGTGTTGTCTCGATTAGCCTAACTTTCAGCCCCCTTTCTGCTCCCCCTTTTTGACATCTCTGGATCTGTCCCTGCCTAGCTAGGCCTGCATCACAGGTGCGGGAACAGAGTTGTTTGTACACGAATCGGCAGACACAATCTAGGCAGTGCAGTCCAGTGGTGCGTAACCAACAAAAATATGATTTTGTGCACGCCCACCACTGCGCAGGGGGGCGTGGTTTAACAAAGAATGACCAGTCGAATACGGCCAATGATCACATTAATTTTCAACAGCATACTATTAACATACATCTTTATTTAAATTCAACACCAATAGTTTGAACTTACGTACTGTAGCACATCTTGTACAGTAGTACACCTCTTTGTAGACAGTGTTATGGCCATTTCGCATTATTTTGCTTTTGTGGTTGCTACGGCAAACGCATATATGGCTCATACGCGCGTGCGTTGAGAATGATCAGGGGTTTATTTAAGAGCCGGCGGCCGGCGCATTCAATCAATGCTCTACAAAAATTAATACAAAAACCACCAATATAAGTAGCGCAGCAGGCCTGTAAACAAGCTTATTTACCTACACGAAGTTAATTTGCAATAGTATGCACTCATTTCGATGTTCCTTTCTGTTGAATGTTCGTTAAAATGTCTACCAATTTTCAGACTTGTGTTTGACTTTCATGAACTTGCGGCGTAAACAAAGTTAAAGTTCAAAGTTCGGCAGTCACGCCTGGGCGAGTCCATCAAAGAAGCCACGCCTCCAAATCACATGTTAGCCAATAAGATAATAGAAATTTTTCCTCCACTAAGTACTCAGGTGATGATGACATACATCGCCCAAACTCTTTTTCCGTACATTGGGCTTCCGGGTTTTCTTACCGCGGAGAAGAAAAAAACAGATCGCCATTTTATAATTAATTTGTGTATGACTATGAACCTTCATTTCATTTTTATTTTACTAGCCCTCTTTGTGATGACATAGATATTTCTGAAATGATAAATAATAAAAAAAAAACCAACACTGGCTCAAATTCATTTACACTCGGTGGCGGAGGTAGCAAGCCGAACCAACTATATTGAATGCTGTTTACACTCACAATTTCAGAGTCATAGATAGTACAATGATTAAAACGGCAAGCCAAAATCGTCTCAATTCACATCACATGAGACATTTTTTTTCTAATGTGGTATCCATTCCTTTTCGATATCTGTGTAAATTTTAGAACTATTTTTTGCTCTCTTTAGATGTTTCCTTCAATGCAGATCTAGGGCATAGGCCTAAATGGTGAATCCCCACAAATTTCAACAT